ATAAGGTTCCATATCACAAAGGGAATGCTGGGATTGATTTTGGGGGTAATTGACTCAAAATTTTAGGAATAAGGGGCCAAAAAAGGGGCAAAAAACAAGCATTTTTCTAGTTTCATGACAATAACTTGTGTGTTAGTGTATGGATCTCTCTGAAATTGTACTACAAGGTACCATACCACAAATGGAAGGCTGGGATTGATTTTTGGGGTAATTGCCTCAAAGTTTTAGGAATTAGTGTCAAAAAAGGGGCAAAAAACAAGCATTTTTCTAGTTTCCAGACAATAACTTGTGTTTAAGTGTATGGATCTTTATTAAATTGTACTACAAGGTTCCATATCACAAAGGGAAAGCTGGAATTGAGTTTGGGGGTAATTGCCCAAGATGTTTAGGAATAAGGGGCCAAAAAGGGGCCAAAAATAAGCATTTTTCTAGTTTCCAGAGAATAACTTGTTCAAGTGTATGGATCTCTCTGAAATTGTACTGCAAGGTACCATACCACAAAGAGAAGGCTGGGATTGATTTTGGGGGTAATTGTCTCAAAACTTTAGGTATTAGGGGCAAAAAAGGGGCAAAAAACAAGCATTTTTCTAGTTTCAGGACAATAACTTGTGTGTAAGTGTATGGATCTTTAAGAAATTGTACTACAAGGTCCCATATCACAAAGGAAAAGCTGGGTTTGAGTTTTGGGGTATTTGCCCTAAACGTTTAGGAATTTCAGGCCAAAAAGGGGCAAAAAAACAAGCATTTTTCTAGTTTCCAGACAATAACTGGTGTTCAAGTGTATGGATCTCTCTGAAATTGTACTGCAAGGTACCATACCATAAATGGAAAGCTGGGATTGAGTTGGGGGTGATGAATCATAAGGTGGTTCCAAAAATTTGGAGGGGGGGGGGGGATTTTTTTTCCCCTTTTTTTTCTTTAAAATTTTCCATTTTAAATTGGTTATTTCAAATTTATATATAAAAGCAAATAATAATGATATGGTTTGGATAGGTAAATTAAAAATTTTTAAGTTCTTAGACCACATTCATTCTGTGTCAGAAACCTATGCTGTGTCAAATATTTAATCACAATCCAAATTCAGTGCTGTATCAAGCTTGAATGTTGTGTCCATACTTGCCCCAACTGTTCAGGGTTCAACCTCTGCGGTCGTATCAAGCTGCGCCCAGCGGAGCATTTTATATTATTGATATTTTGTAATACTTGTTGGAAAAAAATTATTAAACAGAACATTATGACCTTACCAGGTTTGTTCTGATCAATGTCCTTTCTAAGGGACCAAAAACAAAACTTAAAAACAGATACCTTCCAATCAAGATCCAGAAGAAAAGGTGTGACATTGGTGCAAATTAAACTTTTTAAATAGCTGCAAACAGAAGTTAAATTTAATATTTAAACCCTATGGATAGTTGTATTTTGTATCATATTTCAAAGTATTATAGATGTTATATGTATACAATATGTATTTAATAAGCATGTTGAAATTTTAAAAATTACTAACACTTATTTTTGTAAAGTTAAGAATTAATATATGATCAACAATAAAATGTCTTTTTAATTTATACTTTATTGATTGATTACACATCTATTTTTCATTTGTTTACCTAACCCTCACTTAATGCTGATTTTTAGTTCACTTCTTAAATCTACTCATTAAAAATAAAAACAATTTTGAAGTGAGTATAATCTTATAATGTTATATTCATTAGGAATAGGATGAGTGTTTCTAAATTGAAAAAATATATAAATGAACAACCTGAAAAACCTGACGGACTCAAATTTAAAATTCCAATATTAGTATCTGACAGTAAAGGATTTACATTGAGGAATAATTGTTTAGATTATGAATTTCCTTTAGAACTGTGGTGTTTATCATCTGCAAGGACTAAAGAATTAGTAGATATCATAGAGGAACGTATTGAAAAGGCAATAAAACGCCATAGGAACATAATTTTGTATATTTGGTCTGGAACATGTGACATTAGTTCAAAAATTGGAAAATACATTGAAATTCGATCAACAAATTTTACGGTAGTAGATAGAGTCATTGAACAATATCATAGAGCAATAGGGATTGTAAAAAGATATCCAAATAAAGCAGAAATAAAATTTGTGGAATGCCCAACAATTTCATTTAAAAAATGGAATGAAAATCATGGAAAATTTGATTCGGAATTGTATATATGGGATGATAAAACTGCTACAAAACAGATCAATTATCTAAATCAAGAAATAAAAATTTTAAATCAAACATTGTCAAAAAACAATTTAGCTTTTAATCAATATTTTCTCAGGAGCAGAAAAAAAAAAGGAAAAAAAACAAGGTATTCAGTAAATGCAAATTTAAATATAGATGGAATACATCCAGGAAAATATTTAAGTTTATCTTGGACTAAATATCTACTGAAAGATACATACAAAGAATGTTTTGTAAATCTTCACTCCTCTGATGAAGTATCATTCTCAGTTGAGGATCCTGATTTCCCATGTTAATTAGACAGGTAATGTTTTAATCAATAATGAAACAAATTGTGTTCATATTATGATTTCTCATTATAAGACATGAATTGCCATTTCAATTTAGGCTTTAATTAAGACACCGCGTGGAGTGCCCGCGGTATATAAATAGGCCTCCAACTCCCTATATATCCCAAAAAATATGTACATCCCGTTTCATTTATATGTGCCATATCCATTCAGAATGCATTTCAAGTGTTTTATATTAAACAGAATCAATTTGAAACAGCTTCATATTTTGTCCTCTGGTCTACAAGTTCGGAGATTATTCAAATAGAGATTGTCTGTCTGTCAGTGTCTGATCTATTAACTGCTCTTAAAATTTACAATTCTTGCCAGATTTCTATAAAATATGTATCAAACGTTTATAGTATCAAATATTGTTTGGGACAATATGAAATCTTAGATCACTGTACGACCTTCAACCATGAGGAAAATCTATTTATAAAATGCCCTTTTGTGATATAAATAAAACAATTCATATGCTAAAACTAATGGTCTAGTTTATAGCAATACAATTTATGAAATACAAATATAACAGACAATCCAATGATATTTGCTTATTTCAACAGATATAATTCAAGCTTTGTATGATCAGCTATTGATTTGACATTTTTGTTACCTTATATCATATCATGATTTTATAGTCCAATTTGGAATTTGCATGAAATGTGATACAATCCACAGACACTCTATGATGACTTGTATACACATTTTATTCTTTATATATTATATATTTCTAAAATATATTGTTTATTTTTTCATATTAATCATATTTTACAGCTATCAATGTTTATTCATTATTATGATTAATTTTTACTGTCTCTTTTTAATTTACATGCATCACTTCCCTTTAAGGAAAACTATACATTTATATTACACTTTCAATTCCCAATTAATCTTTCCAAATTATTGTTAAAAGATAAAGCATATGCAATTGTATCATCTACATCCATATTATCTATGTTTTTTCAAAAATTATATTTTGGCCTAAATTAATTCATCAAAAAATCAAGGAAAGTAGAAGTTAACGTTAAAACCTGACTTTTATCATGTAAATTAAAAAGAGAGGATTATTTTTCCTTTATTAACATCATCTTTTTTTTCAGTAAACAATGGGGAAAATTAATAAAGCCTTAGAAAAAGTAAAATTAAATGCCACAAATCTCTGCAGGAATATTGATGAACTGAAATTAAATCGCAAAAAAACCCCTACAAAACAGCAGATAGTGTAAAGAACATCACAAAATCTGCAAGGATCATGAAGGCTTCCATTCGTTCATTTTCCTCTTTATTTGCCAACTTTATTATCGGAGATATTGATAGTGCCCTGCAACTTGTTCAAACATCAGCACAACACTTGCAGGAAGCTCATAAACACATGAACTTACCCGTTATGGAAGAATCATTAAATGAAATAGAAAATAATTCAGAACTTTTGCCAAAGGAGATTGACCATCTTCAAGATTTTTTAAAAGCATTTGAAAATTTTCCACAATTTAAGGCAAGTCTGCACAAATTAAAAATAATAACTTAATATTTTTACTTGATGAAACAATTACTTATGTAACTAGATTTATCAATAACAATATAATAAACGTAATATGAATGCATAAAATATTACAAAGCCAAAAAAATAATATTTAAATACAAATAACATTTTCAATCTGTGAAGTAATGTTTTAATTATTAGCAATTTATTACCTTGCTCTTTTGAAAAGACAAGATTTAAGATTTTATGTTATAATCCAAATAGATAAGACATTCAAAATCTAACAAATGTGTTTACCCTAACACACATCTTTTTAACATTTATGATAAAAGAAAGTTAATGTCAATTTTTCTTTGCTTTAATGAATATTTTTTTCACAACAGGATTCCCAGGATGCTACAACATCAGAAGCCGGTAATTTGATAACCCCTCAGAAGGCATGTTCACATTTTACAATTTTAAAAGCTATAATAAATTCAAAAACAGTTATCCTTCTGATGCATATTACAATGTGGTAATAATAAACCCAAACTAACTTTTTGATAAAAGATGTGCAAATTATTAAAGTTTGGACTTAAACTGTCTTTTACAATCATTTCATTAACAATAATTTTTTTTTCAATTAATTAATTTAATTGACATACATAAGATCCACAAATAATCTCACATTTATAATTTTAAACAGAAAGAAATGTTACCTGAAGATAAACCATCTACCAGTAACAGCACTGGCACAAGTAATGTGGAACAAAGTGATAATGATGAAAAGGCATGATATTCTCTATCTTAATTTCTCATATCAATGTTCAATTGAAATCAATCATTCATATCAAAAAAAAATATTTAAAAAAGTAAAATAACTAGTATCTCAATTTTAATAAAATTCAACTATAATGAAATAAATCATTACAACAAAATATTTCAAGGAGATTTATTGCATTACAGATTTTACATATGACCAGTTTGTTTCTTATTATATTATTCCTATTAGGTCAATACTGAAGTTGATGATGATGATGATACCACTGATAGTGATGAAGAAGATGCTCTACTGAGTCAGCTGCCAGAAATGCCACTATGAACTGATTATATTTATATTACTATGTATAATGTACTGTTTAATGTTGTAATTTGTCTTCTGTGTAATAATATGTGTTGTAAACTGTATTGTTTGTAATATCCATGTAGAAAAATACATCTTTGTCTTTAAACATTTTTAATAAATGATTTTTTCCTTTAGATATCCTTTACAGACCATAAAAAGGTAACAGCATTTCTGGTGGATCTGGTATCAAGAAAATTCCATTCATTCAGTAACAGTTGATAATAATAACTTTCTTTTTCAGTATTTATAATGTTTTCATAACTTATAACTTTATCACATGTCAAACTATGTTACTTTTCAGCACTTAACTTCCAAAGCTTGTGTTTAGATATTTTTCTTATATTGAAATCTAACAATTACACTATCATTGTTCACCTCCATCTTTAGTTACCATTATCAATATAATGGTATATCACTAAATTATTTCACTCTTAACCACAGTTATCCAGCATATCTCCATATAGCTAATAATAACCTATACAATTGGTAGTATGAAGACACTATGATAGTTGTCTTCAGCAGGACTAGCAGCAGCTTTAGCGTTCATACAGGCATCAGCAGCAGCAACATTATCTCATTATTTACAACTTAAAATGTATAATGTATGTCTGATAGCATTTACTTTCAATAGAAATACTCGACAGGCGAGACAATTTTGTGTGTCCACTCTTGTTACATATTAAGTTAGAGATTGATATTTAATGCATAAATTTCAAATTTAATAGAAAAAAAATCATAAATAAACGAGTTATTAAGGATTGTTTAAGCACGTGCCCATTTTTCTTTGATATGCCGAAAATCAGTGAACCGATTGACACGTGCCATATAACATAACAACTGAATAAACAATCATAATCTTTTTATTTTAAATTATTAACAATTGTATCGAGAAGATTAATGCTTGATATGATTTATAATTAAATGTGTTGTTCTTATTTACAATTATTAAAAGGACAAATAATTTTGCTATCGTTTTATGTTTTCCCCGACAAAGTTATTTGCCAAAAGTGCACGTCTTTGATGTGCGCCAACTAATAAGATAGAGTGTGGTCAGCTTGTTAAATGTTTAAGAAAGAGAAACGAAGACAAAAGGAATAGATATATTTATAAGTTTTTTGTTTTAATTTGAATTCCGACAAAGATGTGTGCAAATACAAATGGTTTCACTAAAAAATATGAGTAAATTCTGAGAGAAAAAAAATATCAAAACCTGGTGTTTGCTTTTCTACTTCAAGTTCTATTACTGCTTCATACTTAGTACGAATTATGATTGATTTGGAAAAAAAAAATTATGTGGCGTCCTAGTTTTTAACCAGTTTGATATCTGTTTACAAAGGCTTCATACGGTACTTATTTTTTTGTAATTGTTCGAAATTTGTTTTTTTTTTTTCTGAAAGTATAAGAAGTTTAAATATCATTTATCGAACTCTGAAGTTTCATTTTCAAAAAAATAAAGGAGACAAATGTTTTTTTTTAAATGTTCCACAGTTTTTAGCACATTATTTACGAAAATTATCCCGTATGTGTTAATTTAGAGCTATAGATATAATTTTGATATAAAAAGGTTATGCTTCGTACGAATGCCTTGAAAATATACTTTTACCACATGATGTGAAAATAATAATTTTTTGTAATACAAGATCATTTGAATACTTTATACCTTAATCTATCACGTGTAAAAAAACAAGGATTTGTATATATTACTATAAAAACAACACAAAATATTTTCAAAAACAATTTCTTCAAATCTATTTTTTCTTTCAGAAGAACAAGTATGCCAGTAGGAAATCCGATTTGTATTTTTTTTAACCAAGTTGTCTGTTTAAGATATTGTATAAAATAATTACTATGTGGTATGTGCTTTACTCATTGTTGAAGGCCGTACGGTGACTTATAGTTATTAATTTCTGTGTCATTTTGTCTCTTGTGAAGAGTTGTCTCATCGCCAATCATACCACATTTTTTTTTATTGGTTGCATGTAGTAAAAATTTATAGTCATATTGAATTCGTTTTTGTCCAAAAATATATTGCTCAAACATTTTTCACTTGTCGCATCTTAGCTGACACTTTGTTATTTACAACAAAAGATTATAAAGAACACCTGTGGTTGGTGTAGGTAAATTCAAGCTACTGCCACCTTCAAGATTTTTTTTTCTAACGGTTCATTAAAAAGAGGGTCTGGATGGGATGTACAGAATAGAGAAAAATGGGTAAAAAGTGCCGAATAAAGGCAAATAAATAATGAATACAGAAAAATAGAAAAAAAATAATGAATAGAGAATTATGAAGTGCTAATATATAAAGAATAAAGAAAAAGACTGAAAAAATAATAGAATAAAGTGTTGAAGGACCCCCATACAGACCCTCATAAAATTGACAAAAGTTTCTTACATCTATTTCATTTTCACACCTTACAGTTTCTGGGTATATACACATGGTGGGGTTTGAAAATTTTAATCTGGTAATTGAGATTAAATATAAATAAAAATATGAAGACGTTAGAAAAATATTTAAACCTTTTTCACGGACTTTTTCCCAACGTGTACAATAGGATGATATTTTCTAACATATATGTGACTTTTATCCTACTAATATCAAATATGTGTGGCTTTTCCCGCATCATAAATGTAAATCATGTATAGACAAATTACTGGATAAGAACGATTTAATTTTAAATGGGGGAATAAATCTTACTAAATGAAATTTGAAATTAGATCGTACGATTTTTTTTCACAAATAAGCTATCGCTATAAAGATAAAAGCTTTAAAAAATAATTATTTCAGAATTCCACTCGTTCAAGAAATTTTTTACTGGACAAGAATGAATTTAAATTGCGCAATATTTTTTTAAAAATAAAATTTGCATATGTAAGCTGTCTATTAATAATGTTCAACCCAATCAGGACTTTCAAGAAATTTAGGCGAAAAAAAAAACGATTAAAGTCTGCACAAAACTAAGTTGCGAAGCCTACTTTGATATTCTATATAACAAGACATAGTGATTCTTTTTGTAGATTTAGAACTTTGAACACAAACATTTCTATTGAGACTTGTAGATGGCGAAATAATCAGAGAACATTTTATTTGTACTTTATGTAATTCCGGTGATATTGGCTACGAGTTTCATTATGTTTTTGAATGTTCGGTAATAGGAAAAAGTAGACAAACGCCGTTAAAACGGGGCTTTAATTTTTAAGGACGCCACATTTTATATTTATAATGATTTCGATCTATATTTTTTAACCTTTTCAAATGAAATAAATTGAATGAAAAATTTTCAGATTTTGTGAAGATTTCTCAATTGGCTTCAATTATTTCAAACAAAACGATAAGTTTGTTTAACATTTTTGCAAAAACAATATATGTTTATTACTTTTCAAAGGAACCCTTTTTAATGGTTTTCCAAGTTTACTTGTATGTGTTTATTAACACCATAAATTAGTAAACATCAATTACCAGAACTTTTAGACAAAATATACAATGTGATACAACTTCATCACACAGATTTAAGACGCAGTATAGTTGGAAACGGCAATTATGAACTTTTCGGAAATTTCAAAAAACACAGAATACAACATTCCAAATGGCACAGTCTTACCCAAATTGAAAAAGAAGTGCTTTACCGAAAGCTTGCCAGTGACAAAAAGTTTAGTGACAATATGTTAAGAGCAGCAAATGGTTTTGCAATACCAAAAGTTAAACGTCTCGCCAAGAAGCCTGGTCAACGTCACCGGCCAAGGACAGCTGCAGTGAGGACAAAACCGAAATTTTAAATGTTATTGTTAAATCATATGTATTTATTTATCATGTTTATTTAATCTTATTAAATCATAATTGGAAATATAAAGTTTTGACTTTTTTGTTATAATGCAAGTATTCTTACTTCACTTAAAAATATTATCATACGTATAAAGAAAACAAAGTGATGATATATGAGACAAAAAAAAAAACAACAACACATTGCTATCCTATATAATTTTCGAAGTTTTGGTAATGCTTTACCCTTGAAAAATTACAACAATAAGATACCAAGAATAATAATTGACGTTATTATCAGTTATGTTACATTTTAACTATTTAAAAATTCAAATACATGAACTATCACTTAACCCGGATATAAAGTCGGTTCCAAACCGATACCGGTGAAAACTACAAATCGTACATTATTAAAATCGCAATTTTTATTGAAATTGTTTGGTTTTTTTTTACATTTTTCTTCATGAATTATAATATTTTTATGTTTTGAAAAGAATTTTAGGTCCTTTGTGCTCTTATGAAACTCCTTTGTGGTCCTTTGTGTTCCTTTGTGCTCCTTTGTGCACAAAGGAGGTCCTTTGCGGTGTCTTTAGAGACCCTAATCACAGTGACACGTAGACAACTTATTTAGCAAAATTTAATCGTGCATGACTAATAACACATGTACCCCTTAGAAGCAGGGGGTCCAAAATAGGATCGTGAAAAGAACAGGCAAGTGAAATATCATAATTTCAAACATTTAAAGTGCCTTTGTTTGATTATCTGCGGTTATATCGATAATATGAGTACAAATTAGAGTACAAATCCGGCTAGAGGTATAGGGGGAGGGTTGAGATCTCAAAAAACATGTTTAACCCCGCCGTATTTTTGCGCCTGTCCCAAGTCAGGAGCCTCTGGCCTTTGTTAGTCTTATATCATCTTTAATTTTATTTTCCTGTGTATAATTTTGAGTTTAGTATGACGTCCATTATCACTGAACTAGTATATATATTTGTTTAGGGGCCAGCTGAAGGACGCCTCCGGGTGCGGGAGTTTCTCGCTACATTGAAGACCCATTGGTGGCCTTCGGTTGTTGTCTCTTTGACACATTCCCCATTTCCATTCTCAATTTTATTTTTGCTTACATCAGCTTCATCTGAACTTTGGTGGATAGTAAAAGTGTAATAGTTGACTCATTGTCAATCGAACCACATCTCCTTATTTTATTCTGTCCAAAACCAGGAAATTTTAGCTGCAATAGGCATTTATTTAAAAAAAAACAACAACACCATAAATCATTTACTTAAAGGGGCCGTTATAGCCTGTTAACTCATTTTCGTTTTTTGGGGGATTAGGGGGGGGGAGGCATTCATCTACCGTTGAAAAAAAAGGGTAGGTTGGGGCGGTAATAGCTTACCGTAAGGTTTTAATCATGGTTCAACTTTAGTGACTTTTATCCTTGCCAAAGATCAATCTTATTCCAAACGGACTTTATTTTTCAGCAAGGTTTACTGTCGAGCGGGAAAAGTCAAGAGAGGACAATATTTCTATACTCAAGTCAATCCTTTGGGTTCAAATAAAAGGGGATACGGGTAAATAATGATGAGACAACAACCCAACGACACAGAAAATCAAGAAATTTAGAGTCAACATGCAGTATTTTATAAAAGAGAGATCCCTATACAAAATATCAAGCTAAAACCGCCCCATGTATAAATAAAGTAAGGAGGTAATTAAATATTACCTATCATTAAAGATATCCCAACAAGCACAGAAATTTTTTGTGTGGATGAAAAGTTAAACCATCCCATTTTTAATCTTAATCAGTGGAAATCAAAACAGGTACATGAAATACAAAAACAGTACAAGAAAAATACTTCACTATATATATATAAACGGTAGAGTAGATGATGAACGTGGATGATGATGGCTTTATGTCCAGCGGAAAGTTAAATGCATGTTTGTTCTGAACGAGATTAACCCGGCCGGGGTTCGAACCCACGACCTCCCGCACTAGAGGCAAAAACACCACCACGAGAAATCCGAAGCTGTTAGAAAAATAGAATATCATACCAAAAAATTAAAGTGCAATAAATAATCCAATCTCAAAGAACTCTCCCTTTTATTTAAGCCAGCAAAAAGTATTTAACCAATTGATATCATTGAAAACGTCAATTGAATATCGATGGTTGACTTCAGAGTAGATTTCATGCACGAACGCTTTCTGCACATTAGGTACTCTTGCAACAATTATTTGAGGGATCCGTGTGTGGCCAGCTGTTGCAAGGCTAAATTTCTTTTTTTTTTATCCAATATACCCTCTTTTTTCAGTGGCATTCCAAGTTTCATGTCCATTCTCACATTCGACCTTTTATTTTTGCTATGAAGGGCCTACCTATTGTATTGATAATTAATGTGTTCTTGTTATGAACATATATGAAATATTTGCCACAAGACGTAAAACAAACAACATTTATCAAACAACTTCATAAATAATTCCTTGTAAACATAATACGAAGGCAAGATATTGCACAATGCTATAAAGTAATATTTCCATGTATATGTTTCGATAATTATGGAAACCTTAACGGCCTTTTTTCAGTTATCTCTTTGAAAACCACTACACGGATGAACAGTAATATATATTTCTTTTTAAATTTTTTTCTTTCGTTCTTAGATCTACTTTTCACGGTCTATCATATAAGATTATGCCATTTTATTATGGAACTAAGACATGTAAGAATAGATTTTCAAGGGGTGATTTCTAAGTTAAGACGTGTGAAGGAAATGACGGATGACTAAAATAAAAGTGTTTATTTTCATGTAATACATTGTATTTCAATTTAAGAACGATTGTCAATCTTGCCAAAATATCTATTATTTTTATGCATTGAAGTTAACAGGCACAGTTTTGAATTAAGACAAACAAACAAAACAATATTTATTAATCAATTGGACTGGACAGAGAACATTTATTACTTTTTGCATTTGCTTGTCACGTAGTGCAGGCAAAGAACATAATCAAAACCAAACTGAACATTTATCTGAATATTCTCAAGGACCCTATGCATCTAGGTCTGTTATCAATAGGATTATCAATAACATGCATGAAATATTTGCCACTAAACGTTCAGCAAATATCAATGAAAAAAATCCATGCATGTAACGGAAATTACCGAAAATAGCCATTGTATATATTGCATTAACGACAACTTTATATGATATTGAAATGTCATTCATTTTGTTTAGTACGATTCAACAAATTAGAATGAAAAAATAATGATTTGATAAAAGTAAATCATTTCGGAATCGCTGTGATATATATGAGACTGCAATCCAAAAATACAAGCTTAACAGTTGTTATTGTCTTAAAGGAGACCTGACACGATTTTTAAAATAAACAAAAATCAATTAATTTTAACTCAATTATACTATATAAACACATTTCAAACAAAATAATTGTAGAAAAACCCCAAATTAAACTAATTAAATGTTTTGTAATCACCGCGTCCCCTGACCTATAAATTTTAATTAGATAGGCGATCACGTGACCCGATGACGTCACAGGCACTTTCTGGGTCAGACAGTGGTAAGCGGTTGAAGAGTTGTAAGAAATTAAATGATAGGAAGTATGGGCAGCTGTGACAGTGATATTCCCGATGTTTCTAGATTAGTAGATATACGTCCGTACCAATTCGAACCACTAGGCAACGAAATTAATTCCGGAGAAGACACTCAATAATTCCTCGTCAGAGACCTCGGACATCGACGACTTGTCTCAGGCCGAAAACCGCCTGATGAACACCGACTGGTTCGTATTTACTCATTATTGTTCCTTTTTATATTATTTTTGTTTCAAACCAAAGTTGAAATTAAGTTATCTCTTTTTATAAACAATTTGAAAGTGGCCCGAACCCATGTTTAGTTGAACCGAAAGTCGTATACTTGTACGTGCGCCTCCCATCCGAAATCGTACATTTTTATGTTTAAAAAATCACACAGATTGCTTTTATTAGGTCAACTTTTAATATAATGTAGATTGTAGAAATATACATGTAAAAGGGGAAATTCTAAATGCATCTGGTCATTATCTTTTTAACTTGTTTATTTGTTTCGTATACACGGCATCTAGTATCCTATCAATATTGAAGTAGTTTGGTAATATATGTACAGGCCTATATTTTGTTTTCGGCTGTTATAGGTGTGACTGTGGGAATTGTGAACCCATGACAACATCTGAAGAATGTACATGTTGTTCGAATGTATCAGCTGTAAGTTTCCACATGCCGAACCAGAAGACCTGCAGTGCATCACAGAACACGATGTGTTTGTTGCCAACTGCCTCAACAGACACGTTTTACAGGTTAGCATGTATGCTTACCTGGAAAATGTAGGACCTTTTGATGACAACGAGCCAATAAATGAGTAAATATTTTTTTCTTTGTTACTACATTTATGTTGAACTCGCATATTCATTTTCAGCCTTTGTGATAACTTGCATATTCAATAAAAACCTTCGTGATAACTTGCATATTGCACGTGTTGGTAGGCTGCTGTCTCATTTTAACTTTTCATTACGAGCTCCCATAACTTAAAATCGAACGATCTGTCATGATGTAGAAAAATGTAACCCCATGCATTGACTGAATCAACTCAAATCTCTTACATTGTTTTGAGATCACTTAGCCTCACGAACAGGACCTGGCAAATGTACTAAGAGTGACCATATGAATCTGATGAATGCCTTATGACATCAAAGTCCTTGTGAACTCTGGTAGATGTTTGTCTCATTGGCAGTCATACCACATCTCTTTTTTATTTAGATGTCATTATGCATGAAAATCTGTAAATTATTCATTCACCCGACAGAAGCAAAGAACACAAATTCCATCAGTATATAGAAGTACAACTTTAACAGTCAATTAGAATACAGTATTAGTTTTGACAAATTTATTAACATCCATCATAATAAAAGTTATATACAATTGATACAATAATATTCTTATTTATGCAACAATTTTATATTTACAATGACAATACTATTCTTATTAATGCAACATTCATATATACAAATACAATAATATGTTTATTTATGAACAATTTCATATTTACAATTATCATGCTTGAAATAAAGTATACTACAATCGTTAGTTTTAACATGAAACTTTTATCTACAGGCGGTACCGCTTCATGGCATACAGACGTTTTGTTCAATGGATTTGGCATAGACTAGACACAACAGAAAGATATTACCAGCATGTGTGGTGAAAAAAATAAGAGAAACTTTTCCATCAGAGACATATTGTGGTTTTAAGTATGCAGTTGTATGACAGATTCATTTATTTAACTATTAAAATTTTAAAATTTGAATAAGAAGTGTTTTTTTCTTTCTTTTTCGTGGTTGAAAAAGAGATGGGTCATTATTTACTGTCTTTGAAATCGTGATTTGTGTCTCTGAATAAGGTCGATCTTCCTGAACGGGGTGAATGTTGATGTCATGTGATCTGGATGGTGATTGTTGTAAACACGCACATCACCAGTAGCAGATGTATAAGATGTGTACTCTTCTCTTCGTCTCCCTACTACAGCCTGTTTGATAAGTGTCACGTAAACTGAAAAAAAAATAGATAATGCTATGAATAAACAAATAAAAAAGAAAGCCACAACTTATTTTTTTAATTGTCAAAGAAGTATTTATGATATACATGTATATCCAAATGATTGAATTCAATATCAAACTTAGTTACTTCCCTTATCCATAGCTTGGATTCATTGTCCTGGTTTAAATTTACTTTTTAAATTTTCACATAGTGTATCACTGAAGATACTTTAAATGTACAAATAGACATCTGGTGCAGTAAAATTACCATTAATGTTATTTAAATACTTACCAAATGTTGTTGCAGTCTTCTTTGGCTTGACCACTGCCTCAGTACCCTTTTTGGCCTTTGGGTAACACATACTGAAACGCTGTTCCCCAGTCTTGGTTTTTGCTTGCTGTCGCCCACTGTTCTCGTTATAATGAAGAGCGGCAATACTCAATCTGTAAATATGAATATATAAATTAGTCAGACAATATTTCTGACATTTGCATAACTAGTGTATTGTTTGTATAATATTTTAATAATGAAATACAACATGTGTTTAAACAGTTTCTCTTATAAATCACACAGTTGGTTTTATCCAATTCTAGTCCAGTAACGGCTCATTGTATGAAATACAGTATTGCATGCATTGGTAATACAAAATACAAACTTTATAGCTTACTATACAGTGCAGGTTTTGCTAATTGGTGAAGGCTGCACAGTGACCTATATATAGAAATCATAGTTACTAGTACTTCTATGTTATTTGTCTCCAGTGGATAGTTGATTTATTGGCAATCATACCACATCTTCTAATTTTTATAAAATTAACTTTATCAGTTATTACCTTGCAAGCATTGTTGGGTAAAAGAAGTGGGTGCTCTTTGGGCAGAAGTGGTTCACCAAAGAATGGAACACCTCCAAGGAATATGTCTGGTAAACAAGTGATAACTTGGGTACATCTACCAACAGATACCTGCTTTCCACAATGTCCTTTAGTCTCTTGTATGGAACTGAGCCTGAAACATGAATTACCAATAAACATTACATTTTTTTTTCTAATCATTTAACTTTATTCATTATTCAATGTTCTTTTTTATCATATTGAAATATGTCATTTCATGTTTTATGTACACCCGCCTTGTTTTAATATATGTGTATCATATTAAATTACTTCGATGAAAAAACAAGGTTAAGATATTTCTATATTGGTTTTCTTTCTTCTTGATTTTTTTTTATGAGAATAAAGAGAACAGATTTTACCTTCACTTAACCACTGTCGGTCTACTGTGATAGGCTGGTGCTCACATCTCGGATAAAGTATGGAGTGGTTCTCATGTTTGTTGCTGATGTGGTTTACAATCGACCTCCATTTTGCCAACTTCAGGTCTCCGTTAGTACCACAGGAAGACGATATCCAATAGATGTGGTTGACTATGGACTTGATCCATGGACGAATGTCCTTACTGCCCGACTTCTTTGCAGCAGCTTCCAGCTTCTTAGATATTCCTGCAAAATAAAAGAGATAATGTATAAACAGACTTTGCAAAATTATTGATATGAGTTGTAGCTTAGTACATTGATTGATTGTTGGTTGCTCAACGTCCAGTGGCAAATATTTCATGCATGTTCAGGACGAGGTAGCTTAGTACATGTACTGCACAAATTTTCAAATTTAATAAATAAAATAATATAATAATTTTTCTTGCATTAAAAGTATTTAAATCTTATCATATATGTTGTTGGCTTAAATGACAAATTTATAGTTACCTTTAGCTACATGCCATACATCAAACAGGTGGTTTGTTGTGCCTTGCTCTGTACGCATGAACTTCTTGATTGAAGAATGCCTGTCAGTGACTAGATCTTTAATTTTGATGTGCATCATGTCCTCTAGGTATCTGATGGACCTCTTCAAACCTTCCAACTCCATATGTGCAGAGCCTTTCACTTCGTTACACTGTAAAAAAATAAGGACGTTTTAAAACATGAACTGCTTTGGTTTAAATATATGTATACAAAAATATATTTATTGGCCACAATGTTAATACAACAACCGTAAACAAGATTAAAAAACTTTTTTTTCAATGTTTTTTTTTTTGTACTGAAAATGTTGTAAATTTCTGACTAACTTCATATAAAAACAAATACATTATTTGTTTGCATGCTCTCTTTAGTTGGTGTTTACCCAGAATATCCTTTTCTCAGATACTTGGAGTTATCGTCTTTTCCAAATTAAAATATTCAGAAAAAGCTTTCTTTTTTATTCGGACTGATGATTTTCATCTTATTTCAACATACCTGTACTAATTGGAAGTCTAAAATCTTGCTGGTCTCCAAATCCATGATGGTGTATGACCCGTACTTTGCCGAATAACCAGGAGAGTCACATCTTGCACCCCCACCAACAATTACTTCTTTGTCATACAGGTCTGTGAGAAGTGCTGTCTGTTCTGCATCCCAGGCCATAGAAGCAGATGGAGAAACATACAAAGTCTGCAGTCTGTTGTAAGTTCTTGAAGATATCGTCTGCAGGTTGAGGTGTTGAAACATCTGAAGAACTTTACTTGAGTTGGACCCGCTACACAGGATGGCAGTTGCTGTCATCAGATGACCCCATGGTAAGGTATTGTGGCAAGACTGGCTCTTCCAGATGGATACATGCCCATTCAAACAGACTGTGTTGGTGACAACCATGGAACCTCTGGTATTCTTTATAAGGGCAACAGCTTCCCCAGAGCAGTAACGTCAAACAGATAAGAGCTCGGCTAGTGCTGAATCACTCACCATGAACTGTTTTTCTTCAGCTGGGGTAGCCTTGGAGTTGAGTTTGTAGTTCATTTCAGAATCAGTATCTGAATCATCATCAGAACTGGAAAATAAAAAAAAATATTTCTAAATGACTGTTTAGATCATTGGACTTTTGACAAGGTCAAATATGGACTGACTGGTTCTCAAATTATATTGAGAGAGGATGAAGTCTGAGGACACGTTCGATATGATCTACTTATATGGTTCATATATAACCTTTCGACTGAGTGAATATCCTTAATTGGTATATTATATGTAAATCGTTTATTACGGAAATAGACTTATGACTATGTGGTATGGGTTTTTCTTTTTGTTGAAGGCTGTACAGTGACATATTGTCCTTAATTTCTATGTCTTTTAGTCTCTTGTAGAGAGTTGTCTCATTGGCAATCATACATGTCATACTTACTAATTATATGTTTCAAGATTTAAAAAAAAAAAATTAAAATCTTGTAACTATTTCATTTTCATATTGAAAATATTCACTGATGAATGTGATGAATATCAATAATATACTAAATCAATCCAACAATATAAAACCTACAACACGTACAATACAACTTATTTGTTTACCTCATTTCATCATCTGTTGGATTGTAGTCTGAGTCATCACTATCTTCAGGTTCTGCACTATCATCATCACTGTCGCTAGGGTTCTCTGCTTCTTTGGGTGATGGTTCATCTGTCTGGGTTGCTATTGTGCTAAAAGTCTTTATCTGGACAGTCATTACACCTGTTATCATGGTGTCTGTCTGGTGACCCGTTGTTCTCCGTTGTGGCTGCAATCTTACTTGAAGCTTCTTATTCACCATCCTGATGGATGTAATAGGCTTGGGAGGAGATGTTGATGTAATAGGCTTGGGAGGAGATGTTGATGTAATAGGCTTGGGAGGAGATGTTTCCACTGTCATGTTCGGCTGTGGTATTACTTCAACTGGATCACTTGGAGTACATGTAGTAGGAACGTCTGTGTCATCCAACTGGACAGATGTGGCTGTGTCTTTTTGCTCTGGAGTCTGGGCTCTCACATGACTGTCAAATGCCATTTGTAGATTCTGTAACATACATTTTAAAATTAGTGAAACTCATTGTACATATATGTAAACTTGAAGACAAGTAAATAAGTATAAATTATATGCTCATCACTTAAATTTCACATCTTAATAACAATTAAAAAAAATAATTTATAGTTAAATAAGTTTGTAAAATTTGCAAAACTGATTTCACAGTTATTGATATAAATATTAATAATTGCACACACCTGTGTCTTACAATACGCGATTCACCCATTTACCTGTATAATTAAATTTCACCGTCATCACTGAAGTAGAATTAATTTACTGTAATACACAAACCCCTTTAGAAAGTTGTCACTCTATCCCACGTGTAATGAAAATCCCCGTATCTGTAAAACATTTATCGAGAAAATTCTGTAATCAGGTATTTAACTAACCGCTTGACCACCTGCTAACAACGAGATCAGCTGATCAATGGCGCGTGTACAAACACCTGGGGAGTGCACACCTGAATCGAAATTAGTAGTGAAGCTGTGTGCAATGATTAAATAATTAAACACGATCAATGTTAAATAACATATAAATGATCTGACATATCTATAATAAAAACATGAAACTATTAAATGCCGTAGACAAAAATAAAATTTACCTCTGCCTTTCGGCGTTTCTCAAAAGCACCTCTCCTGGTGGGGATGCTCAGCTTCTCGCCATCTTTGATACCGGTGTCAGGTACAGGTACATCGGGCTTTGCGTCGGGACGTAGAGTTAGCTTGTATGTCATTTTAAGTTGTAACATAAAATCTGGATCTTTTGTAAAACTCTGTTTGGAGAAATGCGCCGAACATAATCTGTGGTTTGGTCCAGGTACAAAGTTCCACCTTCTGCAATAATGTGTCCACGCTTTCCGGAGTATAACATCAGCTGGGAAACGAAAAAAACTGATCCCAGTGCCTTTCTTCGCTTCGTTGTTGCACCCATAAGCTGCACAATACACCATGGCTGGTTTGCATTGATGTCAGTGTTGCACGAAAACGTATTTTGATTATTTTTTTCTAATGATAAGATAAGTGATTGATGCTGGCAGTCAGAATGGTCGTAAAGTGCATGTGACGTCACAGGCTCGAGAGCCTCGTTTTCGCAATGAATTTTTGCATATTTCACAGGTCAACGAGATGTCAATCAAATTGACCTATATATACGAAACTGGATACAGGTAGTTGAAAAAACCTTTACACAAACATCTTTCAAGCCAAATTATAGAAAATAAAGCAAAAACCCGATTTCATGTCAGGTCTCCTTAATATCTTTCCTATTGATTTGTGATGCTCCTTAGTCTGGACCACACAAATTATTTGCATTGACAATCATAACAGTATTGTAAACGTTTGTAAAATACCAACAAAACTGACAAAACCATCTTAGATGACAAAACGTATCCAAATTTTATCCTATGGGAGAAAAAATAATCCTATAGGACAAAGTTTATCCTAAGGGAGAACAAAGTATCCTACAGGACAAAATTTATCCTACGGGAGAAAATAAAATCCGGTAGGAGAAAAATTATCTTATGGGAGAAAAAACATCCCACAGGACAAAATAAATCCCTTAGGAGGAAAAATAATCCTAAGGGACATTTGTTTCTGAGAAAAAGTCGTTCATGATAATCCTATAGGATAAAAAAAATCCCATCGGATTTAACACTTTTTTTGAAAATCCTACAGGATATTAATTTTATCCCATAGGAAATATATTTTCCTATAGATTAAATAAATCCTACGGGATTATGACTTTATCCTATAGGATTTCTCAAAATCCTGTAGGATTTTTAAAAATCCTATGGGAGAAAATAATATCCTACAGGATTTTGTCACTGTTTTCACTCCAGTTGCCGAACCAGGCGAGCCACACCAATTTTTTTTTGTATAGTGTTATTTATCCCCAGGGGTACATTATTGCCAAATATGATGATTCTACCGTTTAAAAAAGTGTGGTTCCAATTTGCACTCATGAGAAGTGCAAATTAATCCAAGAACATGTTAGCTGTTTATTCATCAAGTGAATTTCACACTGATAATGGTCGATAACTATGACCAAAGTTGACATTTCATGTAAAAGTCCGTAACTCTAATACCATAAGTAATAGGTCAACTATATTTGCTCGTATGGCGCACACATAGCTATTTATGGGACTTTGAACTTATTTTCTTGATTATTTTGTAAATGTTAAGTTTTTTGGTTGGTTTTAATGATTGTAATGTGTTCATGTCCGTCTGGCAGGTTTCATTTGACCTTGACTATTTTATGGTTCAATGAACAATGTTAAGTTTATTTGATACTTTAGTAAAACCCTTATCTTATAGACCTTCAAAATAAATTCAATAATGATCGTTCAAGCAGTCGCGACATTTCAGTGCGTGCACTCTTTTATAAATAATATGTAGTATTTATTTATTTTGAAAAACACAAGTGAAGTTTTTTTTAAATGTCTAATTAGTTTATCCCGTTTGTGTAAGACTTAATTATGAATTGTTAGACACTTTTTTTTAATTTAAGAACGATGCAATCCTGTTTGGAATTTATGGTTGGTTTAAGCTCACCTGACTCAAAAGGAAAAGTGAGTTTTTCTCATCACTTGGCCCCCATCGTCCGTTGTTCGTCGTCTTCCGTTCATTTTTACAAAAATATTCTCCTCTGAAAATACTGAGCTACAAAAATGTACCTTAAATCAAACTTGTCCACAATCTTATGTCGGTTTTAAAAGGTTTAAAGAGCTAATGTGTTACTGTATTGCATGCTTTTTATCGACTTTTATTTAACTTTATTTGATTTGATTTGACAATCATAATTGGGGTTTTCGATGACCCCGCAGTCATTACTTTCGATGACTGCAACCAATCCCACGCTGTACAGTCTACATTTTGCTTGGTGTAAATACCCGCGTCAGCATACACACTAAAACCCATTATATATATATGGATGGGGGAGTGTTATGCCGACTGACGTCCGAAAGCCTGTATCCGTTGTGTTAGATAATGGACCACCATTTCACTGTCTCACGAGTTTGGTCCTGATAATGCTTCCTGTCATCGTTAATACTACGTCCGAGACTCATCGACCAGTACTTCATCAGTGTGGTTAGCGGGCTGCCCAGCTGACCAACGTGGCCCTGAAAGCATCCGTTGTGAAGACAATCAACTTAAACAAAATAGTCAACATACTAAAACATCAAGCCACTACCAAAATGGCAGCCGTCCTTTCCATTTTCTCCATGTTTACGACAACAAATTATTTAAAGGTCACAAAACGCCTCCGGACACCGATCCGACCGTGCGAGGGCTTTACTAGCCAGTCAAGGTCGTTAAACACCACCAGTTAGTTATATGACAACAACCTTGACCTTGAGCACGAAACTGAAACATAAAGACCCTATTTGGAACTTTTATACAATATTCGAAAACAACAACAAAACCAGCTGAGCAAAATGCATGTAGTGATTGCAATACAATAGTCAGTGCAAAAGCCACCCGATGAATTCCCTTGGCAGGGACGAAACAGTGTTTACTTTTGTACTACTAATAATAAATCCTTGTAAAAAGTAAAATAACAAATAGACCGAACTTGTAAGTCACTGTTTATTATGAATTTACAATACAAATAGAAATAAGAACATTTAAAATGACTTTAACATTTTCATTATTAAATTACTAACAGTGATTGACCAGGTAGAGAGTTGTTTTTCTTGTAATATCCACTCACAATTTCGATGGACCAGTATTACCCTGTATTTACATGTACCGCTGTTTACCGCCGGCATGGTCAATACTAATATAGACCGCTTTTTGCCAACCTTGTTGAAAGCCCCATGGTTGCCTATAATTGCTTACATCCACTCCATTTGAACTTTGGTGGATAGTTGTCTCATTTTCAATCATACCACATCTTCTTATTTTTACATAATTATATCTTCACCATTTCTTAATCTATATCTAGTTGTTCTTTGTATTGATGGTGGAATCAAATCACAAAGATAGATGAGTTCGTACATGTAGATGGCCTGTTTCAAGGCACAATTTCTTCTCTTATCTAATAAGCTATGTTCATTTTCCTGTACTAGTTTAAAATTTCCAACTCGTCATCAAAGTGGACCTATCTACAAAACATACCTATCTATTGCATGCATATGAAGGGCGATGATATGCATGAAATATTTGCTTCTGAATAATAATTAGGCAACTATCAATCATCAAATTTTTTTAAACAACTCAATTCCAAGCTTATTTTTGAAGAATAATTATAGATACATCAGTTATGATATTTAATTTAAATGCAAGGAGATGTGGGGTATAAGGAAATTTGGTCTAAACTGCAGAGAATAGCCCACCATTAGTAGCTACAGTTACTGTAAATGGTTCATCAGAATTGTAGGTTTTTAAATAAAGAATACTGTATAATACTTTTACTTGAATACATAACTTATTCTAACATTACATTTTGTGTTGGACATTTGTTACAAAATGAGTAATTTGTCTTATTCTTGTTTCCACCCGTTTGGCAATACTACGGGTGTTGTATGCATATATGGTAAGCCGTACTTTCGGGAGCATCCCAATCCATGTAATCAATGATACAATAAATCGAGACCATGGAAAAAACACCAAAAGGGTAACAAACAGACTCCTCTACGTCAAAGAGAGACATTACATAGTCAGGTGGTCTTTTCTTCTGACTCGCGTTTTATCTCAATGCTATTTGATAACTATCCTAAGAGAACTGCGAATGAATGCCAATTAGTTATGTTTGTAAAATTTTATTTTCGTTAAGAGGTGAAATAACAACAAACTATAAGGCAACCACTGACGGTATTATAGTGAATAGATAGGATGCGATTGCATCATCATTACTAAAAGGGGGAAAATGATAATGTATATTATCATACTTTATGCAAATTTCTTATATTATCCATTCATTTCATTGGACACGCGGTATTTGTTAATTTTCACTAATCTTTCATAAGGCCCGCCCACCCATAGCAACATGTGATGATATTAGCAACGGGTGCTAATGCCTAAATTAACACCCGCTGAGCCCGAAGTTTGCCGATCCGGAACAAATTACACCCGCTCCGGCCGAGGTTTACCGATTCTTATTTCTACATCATTTCCGTCGTTTTGTTGTTGTTATTTAGTAAACTATCTTAATTTATGACTTTATTTTTTACAATTGTCCTTCTAATAACATACATGTAGTGCACACTTGAATCATAAAGCATTCAGTTTAATAAAAAAAAACATATTGCCCTTGGATGAAGGTGATAGGGTGATTAACAAACTCGGTGAAAAGATTATCAACCGCAACTTCGTCTTCGGTGATGATTTTTTCCCTCGTGTGTTAATCTACCCTAACAGCTTCATCCAAGGGCAGTATGTGTATACAGCTAATGAAAATAAAAAAACTGAACAATGTGTGAACCACTCACATCCAAATAATTTTGTTATCTGGCAGTATGCATGTCTTGTTTCAGTGTTTGAAAATTAAATAGTATACAAAAAAGTGGTTAGAGACGTTTTGCTGACTTAAATTATGTCATTTCTCAATCATTTCAGGTACAACATAAAACCACACCCCTATAAAAAGGGGAACATTGTTATTAAAGGAAAATAACTCCTATAAACATGATAAAGAGTCAATTAACAATTCCGAAAAAAAGTTGACTTATCAGTTAATCTTGTCTTCCCGATCTGTATTGCTATATAAAGTGTCTATCTATCTTAAATAGTTTTCAAGTTACTAGGCAAAAACGCCAAAATAAATGGTTAACACCGTCTTTAAGGGCAATAACTCTATGAAAAGTCGTCCGACAGTTATAATGAAATTGGACAGTCAGTATAGGTCTTGACATTCTCACTTTTTCTCTATTTATATCGGTTTTCATGATAATAGACTATTTTTAGCAATGCCGGCCGAGTTGGTTGACAGGCGGGATCATTGGACAATTTTTAAAGATTTGATACCCTAATGCTGAATGTGACTATATTTGGTTAAATTTGATCCAGTAATTTCAGTTGAAAATATTTTTGAAAAAGTTTACGGAAGACGTCGGGTGCCGACGCCAAGTGATGGGAAAAACTAACTTTGCCCTTTGGGCCAGGCGAGCTAATAAAGAGATGTGGTATGATTGCTAAAGATACAACCAGCTACACGCATTCACATGACGTGGAAATAAGCAACAAGGTAATACATTTAAAGGAATAGATCAAATTTGATAAATAATAACTGACGGTAGACAGTTCTGTCACAAGGAAAACATGTATAGCTGTACAATATAACAGTTTGTGTTCAGCCTTAAAAAAAAACTGTATGTCATTTAAATAAGAAGTGTGTTTAATGCAAAAAACAAAAACAAAAAAAATCTATCTTTTTGAATCGACACAATTAATAAAAAGAATAAATAAAAAAAATAATAAGGAAAACTATAAAACAAAAAAATAATATATACACATGTGTACATTAATTGTCTTGAAAATATATTCCAACGTTATGATTCATTCCCCGTCAAAATTTAGCATGTATTTCTCATTGATATCGGCATACAAACTTTCTTTTTTAATATTTCCTTTTCCAAAACTAAATTTGGACCACTTTCTCTTCTTTATTTCAGTTTTCATTGCTTTGGTGCTTGGTTTTCGTCGACATATTGCCTCTTTGTTCTTTACAATTAGACCAAATACGACAACTAAAACGCTTCCAACTGCAACACAGGTCATGTAAATAACAACGTTGTTGCCTTCTGGAAGTTATAAAAAAAAAATAATAAAATTATTATGCTTATGTTGTTTATATTTGTAAATTGTGAAATTATCCATTAGCAAGGTAATATAATTGTAATTGAAAATATATGAGTAAACAGAGATTAGGGTATACGCCAATTAACAAACGAACGACCAAAACACTCAAATGATTACTAGTATTTATCTGTCAACCTCAATTTATTTATTTGATCGATCCATCATTCAATATCATATTCTTGGTCTTTTCGGATTATACGAGTACCTGGTATTGGATAATGACTTGTTTTTTGCAATATTATTTAAGACCTGTTGCCAAACTTTATCAATTAACAGGCCAGTGCACTTATAACGACCTTATTTTTCCCGCTCACAAAAAAATCCGTATATGTCTGGGAATATACAAATAAGGAGATATGCTATGATAGGCAATCAGACAACTATCAACCAAGGAAAAAAAAAAATATGTTAAAATCTATCGCTCATTGTACAATCTATTAGATTAACCAACACCAACTGTGTAGTTATAAAATGTCCCGCGATAACACAATATATATAGTTAGGCAATTCAAAGAAGAAAGAGGGGCGAGTCGGGTACGTCGACAAAATAAGCGCCATTTACTATGTATGCATTACCCGTCATGCAAATCCATTTCATTCAAAATTGCACAATTGAGAATAGGACAAAATCCGTCAAATTACAGATAAGACGACTTTATATACTCGACTGGTATATCAACATGTAAGACTGAAAAAACATGTCTCTGGTTAGTTTAGACACAAACATATCGTATCGGTCGACCAATTCGTGATGCTGTCATACCTTAAAACTTATTTAGTGTTGATTTCAGTCTATTTTTTCTAATAACCCTGTTGGAGCCGTTTTTATATTAGGGTGTAGAGAACACACTGCTAACGAAGTGGGTATAATGAAAAGAGTCGTCCTTAAACAAAAGTTTTGTCCGACCAGTCAGTATTATATTGCTTATATTGCTTCCATTTTCCGAAAAAGGTCGTAAATTACTAAACATGATCGTCTGGATGGGGTTTACAGAAAAGAGAATAAAAGGGCCAAACCTACAGAAAAATGGACCAAAAAAAGAAAGCAAAGAGAAAATTGGGCTAAGAAATAAAGAACAGAAAAGAATGGTGAGCTAAAAAATAAAAATTAGAGAATAAGGTGGTGCTAAAATATAAAAATAGAAACAATTGCTTAAAACAAATAGGGCATACAGAATTGAAGAACCCTTTTTTAACGATTTTATATATCAACATCATGTCAAATAGACATATACATATTCTTCAGGAGATAGGATCATTGCTGAAATAACTGATACATGTATGGTATTGCAGAGACACCATAATTCAAACGACGAAGCAATAGTTAATTTTAAGTCCCTGTCCAGCCTTAAACACTGAGAAAAACCAATATGTACAGTTATAAAATATAAATGATATTGACTATGTGGTGATGACATAAAAGTGAACTGCACTTGTATTCGCGTGTAATTATTTTCACGAACATTTACCTATCGCAAAATACTTGAAAATAAAAAAAAAAAAAAAAACGCGCAAAATGTAAATCTACAGTAGTTGTACTCAGTAAAGTATATAAAGGTTATCTTTATCAAAGGAAGTTACATGAATATAACGGGACTGCCATTTAATCTGCCATTTAGCTGTAAAGATGATTGATTGATTGATTGATTAATTGCTGTTTAACGCTGCTTTCAACACGATTGTGCTATTTCATGGAGGTCAGTTTTTATTGGCGGAGGATGCCGGAATGCCTGGGGAGAACCATCGTTATTCGGCAGGAAAACTGATAATCCTAGTCAATTAAGATTGGAGTCGAGCGCACCTGCCACGTGCGGTATTCGAATACACAACATCAGTGTTTACAGGCTAGTGATTTAGTAGTTCGAATACTAATACAACTCGGCCTACGAGGCTCCGAGCTGTATAGATGAAATACGATGTATAATTATTTAGGCATATAGGTTAGATTTTTAGGTATGCAAATAGTGTGTTACATCTCATACATTGGAGCATGCATATTGCATGTATGGTACGCTTTGAATATCTGCTGTGCAAATCTTTCAAAAAAGTAAAATAATTTTTAAAATGACGAGTTAAAATGAATTTACGAAAAGCCTAGTTGAACTTAAATTCAGTTTCATGTAATTCATGCTATCTTTTATCGAATGTATTGTCTCACCTGCTTCCTTGACGTTAGCATTATGCCTGTTATCAGTAAGTACAACAGTCCTTGTGTTGACTACATTATAATAAAAACAAAATCAAAATTTATGTATGATGCAATTGTATGTAATTTTACTACACAAGTTACTAAAAATAAATAATTATAGCTATATTCGGAGACAAATTGTCATCGGTGTAACCTATCAAGCATTTGCATGCGTTCATGATGACAGTGTCAAATATATTGCAAAGACATTGAAAATATTTAAAGAGTTTACTACGGTACCATTAATTATACAATTTAGTCGGATACCCATCCGATATACAACTGAACTTTACATCAGTGGTTTCGTTATGAATCCTTTTTTAAATTTTGTCCTAAAATAGTCACAGTAACATATTGTTATACATCATTTCTGTTCGTGTTTTAGAGATTTTCTTCGATATAAACCAAAGAAAATTTCGGACGCTTATATTACCTTGTTTCTCCAAATCTACACCGAGGATTTTAAGATGAATTTGTTTAATAACCATTAAATACTTAAATTTGGTAATACATGATCGTTAAACGTCCTGAATTGAAAAAAGTATCATACTGAGACTGGCATTTCTTCTAAGTCTATGGGATTGTGATGTTTTATCGCATAGAGGACATTAGAAATAACCTGTGCATGTTTCTAAACACAACTGAACAGCTAGCCTCAATTGTATAAAAAATATGTATGCAGGGATAAGTCAACCAATTATTACCGTCTATCATGTCTTTCGGAACGCATCCCTTTACATGGTCACATCTGTAGATGAAAAAAATAAAGTCGATAAGAAAATAAACAGATGATACTAAGGGAACAGTAATTCAGTTGTCGTTGGTTGCTATCTGTGCTATTTATTTTAGTTTATTCTTTTAGCATAAATAAGATCTATAATTGTCTCATTTGTTCCTAATTTGTCATATCAGGACCTTCAATAGCATACTTTACGGTATGGGTTTTGCATATTGCCTTATATAAGGCTGTATCATGTGTATGGTGACAAAACGTTGCTTACATCATCCTCGTCATTTTGTCTCTGATGGTGCCCGTTGAGATCATAACACTTCTATTTTGTAAATAACAAAAACTCTCTTCACTTCATATGCAACACCATCAATATGATCTGTGTTCAAATGCGCATTTGTCATATCATTTAGATCGCATATTTGATTACAGTTACATATTTGATGCATTTACATAATTCTATATTTTTACTTAACTTTAAGTTGATTCAGGTGTGATTTCAGATAATTTTTACCATTCACTAGCACAATTAGTGAAATAACTTTTTAAAGTTTGACAATTTCCTTTTTAAATTTAATATATTAACGATATTTTTTTTCTCTCAGTTATAAATCTTTGAGCTTCAACCCGTGTTTAATGCACGTTTGCATATTTCATTATGTATGTTTTGTAAAAATAAAAGCTCTATTCTACTCTTAAATTCCCCATTCCTGTCCTGACAGTGAACATCGGAAAACTACCGTCGCCTAATTCATCAAAACCATTTTATTAAACATTTTTCCATGTTTTGTATGTTATAGATATTGTTCTTTCAAATGTATACATAAGATTTGTTTTTTTACTAAAAAGTAAAAATAGAAAAAAGAAGATGTGGTATGCGTGATTGCCAATGAGACAACTCTCCACAAGAGACCAAATAACACAGAAATTAACAACTACGGGTCACCGTACAGCCTTCAACATTGAGCAAAGCCCATACCGCATATTCAGCTTTAAAAGGCCCTGCAATGACATCTTAAGTTTGTTTTTGCGTCAAAAGCGCTTTTCAGTGACAATTCTAGTAAAAACTGTACTTTTTTAAAAGGATAAATTTACACGAAGCATGCCGATATCATAATTTTGAATAAACTTAAGTACAAAGCCATATAACAAGAATAAAAAATCATGAGGAATTCACGTCGTATAATAATATTGATGCACAGACGAATAATTTTTGTAGAAGAGTAAAACGTTAACCTTGACATCGATAATTGTTAAAATGACATATTCGAACTACAGCTGTAGCTAGCAATATACTGTAGCTTAATGAAGAACAAAAAGTGGTACTTCTTTATATTTCCAAGTATTTTTAGTAGACGTTGTTTACAATTCATTTTCAAATCTACTATAAATATTGTCATATGTTCATATTTATTTACTATGATCATGATTGTACCTCTCATTTGGGTTACAGTTGCATGTAAAACTGCACTTTCTTCCAAAAAGTCCATCCTCACATTTTGTACATACATGTACTTCACCCTTGGAATGTTGGCCAATTGGACATTCTGAAAATAAATTGCGAAAAGAGATAGAAAGCATATATCTAAGCATGTTGACCATCTGAAAATAGTTAACAATAAAGTCGAGACATGATAACATTGAATTCGACAATAAAAAAGTATAATAAACAAATAAAATTCTTCAGATATTAATTGAAGACTAGTCTTTAAAGTTCTAATTAACGGTATTGTTATTTTCTTTTCCTTGAAGGTTGTTGTACATTGATGTTTTTGTTTGTTTTTGACAAATCATTATAATATGTTGTGCTGTGCTATTGTTTAAATAAGTTGTTGGTGTATGGTGTATAAGCATATCTTTGATGATTCATTTATTCGAATTTACTACATGTAATGTAAAGCAAAATGTATTTTGAATTATATAAGAACGTGGTGGTGTCTTTTGATGGTTTAGGGATAATATGATACCTTTGATTGGAAATTGTTGAAATACTATTAAAAATGTATTGAAAGGTAATATATTGACGAATTAAATACTTTTGTCAAAGTATGCTCATTTGGGTCAGTAAACCTTGAATAAACAGGACACTTCTGTGCGGTATCCTGTTTCAGAATTTGTTTTTTACTTTTGAGCAGTGGTATTTATTAAAAAAAAAACAGATTTTACCACATTAGTTAGGCTGGTAAAGTTGCATGGACATTTTAGCACTAGTTTACTAAGTCTCTACCGTTTCCTTGTTCTTGGATTTTATTGTGCATGGTGTACAGTTGTCTAAAAGACAGACGTGAAGATGGAGAAACTCGGGTTTTCCCAGGCTGGGAAGTTCTCCAAAAATTGTGTAAAACTTGGCAATATGATTTTTACCAGCTTTCATTTAAATAAACTTGATAACATGCTTTTGAGACAACCTTTCAAATTTGCCTATGTGTTTTCAACTTATTGATAGAAGTTTGGACTTATTCTTTATATACTATTTCATACTACCCGATTTTTCCTAGTTTGTACCATGTGGCAGGGAAACACTATTAAACATATTAAAACCCGTGTTTTTTGCAAACATGTGAACAATTTTACTGACGTTTCCGAAGCACAACTTGGCTAATTTTGAATTTATCAACAGCTTTGAAGATTTCCCGCATACATATTTTTTATATATAGTCTTAAAAAAAATGAAAGGTTGTCTCCAATTTACATCGAATGTCGAATTTCTTATGTTATTTAAACTTACCAACACAAACCTTGTCATTGCTCATGTAATGATTGTTGCAACAAATCGCAACTTTAACATTCGTATAAGAAACACCATTTCTTATTCTGAAAAAAAAATGTATAATATATATAATAAAGTTCTTTACAGAAGCCCAGTCGACATCATTGTACTAAAACAATTAATACCATAGGAAACAAATCAGTACTTTATTTAGATGGAATACATGGTACTGTAAATAGATATATGAAGATGTGGTATGAGTGCCAATAAGACAACTCTCCATCCAAGTAACAATTTATAAAGGTAAACCATTATAGGTCAAGGTACGGCCTTCAACACGGAGCCCCAAAAATACTAGTATAAAACCATTCAAACGGGAAAACCAACGGTCTTATCTATATAAAAACGAGAAACGAGAAACACTTATACATATTTTCAAATCTGATTTAATTGGAGTACCTAACATTATGCTTACATCTTGGTGGCAAGAGAGCAGGAATTATAAGGCAATCTGTGTTCGCCCTATAATTCGAAAGTAAAAAGTAATACATTTAGTATACAAACACCATCGACAAGCTATAGCCTCACAACACCCTTGTGTGAACAACACAACACAACGATGGGTAAGGTTGTCCTGCGAAAGAACGTTCAGTGCTGGTGATTCGGTTCTGATCGGTGCTGATGACCATTCAAAAATGTAAACAAAGACGAAAATAATGATTTTGACGATTTATTGAATAACAGATGAAAATAAATTGTTAAGATGTTTCAAATTTGTTTCTTATTGGTTCAAAAGTAAGAAACCAAATCATTAACCGTCTACACTACTGTAGTATGATAAACACACAAGTCCTCATTTTCGGAAGATCTGGAACAGACAAAAGTGATAATTGAGTCCGTTTATTGAGTCCCGACATTGTGCTGGTGGGTCCTGATACTGTGCTGGTGATTTTTCACAAGATGTTAATATTATTATGATTCAAACATTGCTAAATCAACTGTCTTTTGTACAGACTTGTGTAAAAACTCCTTTATGACACTTATTTTAACCTTGGACATATCTTTTGATTGTAGTATTAGTGTTTTGAAATAATCACTGTATTAACTACAAATTACTTTTAAGGACAAATTTTTAGTTCAATATCAGATTAAAGCGTTCAAATCAGTATCTTCAAGCATGACGAAAAAAAAGTGTGGAAAACTGATTACTTACATGAAATTACTAAGTCCAAGGACCATTACTCTGCACAAAATCCTCAGACTGGAACAAAATTCAAATTTGATCTGCAACTACTTAATCTTCAAGAAGGGAGGAAAAAAAGTGTGGAAAACTGATATGTCGGACTGACGAACGGACAGACAGACAGATTCACAGACATACTTCTTTTGGAGTTACGGGAACAGACATCATTCATGTAGCATAGTTCATATCACAATGTTGCGGGATGAACTTTTTCAGGATTAACAAATATGAGCTTATAGTTTGAAGCCGGAAAATGGTAATACCAGATGTACATAATGAAGTAAAATTAAAGATTTCTCACACAATGTTTGTTGAAAACGACAAGCAAAGTACACAAAACATTTCCAATGCTGGTTATGCTATCATGCATGCATGCAATTTTTCTGGTGTTTTTTTTTTTACAATATAAACAATAAATAAGTTATCCTGATCCGTCTACACTTCAGGAGCACCCTTGATCGCCACCAATTTTAGTAAGGTTTCTATGTTGTGTTTTGTATACTGTTATTTGTCTGATGTCAGTTTGTTTTCGACCTATGAGTTTGAATATCCCAATAACATATTTCGCCTCTCTGATAAAAAATTTAATCAATCCTGAATGTTAACGAAATGATGCGAAATTTTATCTCTGTTACGCTTGTTTCATTAGTATTATGTTCTTGGTAATAAAAAAAAAATGGGATAAAAATGTACAAAAAGGAAGACCGTTTACTTTCTTTTTTTGGTGTTTCAATACAAATCCTGGAAACTCCAAAAGTAGAACATAATAATTGTATATATGGGAAGTTTTACCGACAATAATCTGTTGATGATCGTTTAATCACTAATAGTGAACTACTAACATTAGTTTTTACTTCTTATTTACTTTTCCTAATTATTATCCAATATCACATGATAGCAGAGATCAGTCAGTACATGTAACAAAACAGCAATACGAGTTATCAAAATGAATTGATAGCCTTGCCCGTCTGGGAGTGGGATAGAGTATTAAAAACAAACTATCATATTGTATTGCATGAAGAAATTAACAATCTATCATATCTGGGTTTTCTTTTAAGTTGACTTAGTAACGGATGTGACAAATATCCCCTTTTAATCTTTATTATAATTTGTAGCAGCAATCAAAAATCACATACCTGCGGTATATCTGACACACTCCGGGGGTTGGAGTTGTAGCTTGTACAGTACTGAACAATAAAAACACAACATCGACTACAATCAATTCCATACTTCCATGAGAAAGAATATATATGAAATAGTCTACTCAAGGAAATAAACGAAAGGTTCGGCTTTTTTGTATTACAATCAGGAAATGATTATATAGTTTATTCATCTATAAATATAATGCAAGTATTTCCTGAAATTGTACATTTCTATGTATGTCATTAAAGCAATATTGAAATAATAAAAAATTGCAACAAAAAACTAATTTAATCAGATATTGAACTATTGAATGTCTGTCCACTTTATATGTTGATAGCTATAATCTGATAATGTTTTATGTGCACTGTGAGTTTAACATGCCAACACAATTGTTAATTACAAAAAAGTAAATGTCGAAAAAAAAAGAAATATCTGAAGATAACTATTCTAACGCAGATTCCCAAAATCTATGGTTTGTACTTATTTTCTTTCAAGTTAAGGAAATGATCAGCTGAAAAATTACTTCTCACTGATTACAAAAAGATATGGTTTCCATGTATTTTCCTTTGAAAAAAGGACATAATTTGGCTACTTCCTGTGTACAAAATGCCAATTACGGTGTCAAATGATTGTCTTAATAACAGTTTCGAAAAAATGCTTGCAATCAAGAAAATTATTTGCCATTTCCGGTTTAAAAAATGTCACTTCCAGTGTATATGAAAGGTTGGTTCAATTTGATTCTTAAACTATACAATATTGTTGCAATGTACATAAAATAAGAACCGAAAATACTAAATCCGATTGAAAAAGGTCACTTCAGTCGGTTTAATTGCAAAGTCATCTGTCGTACAGTGTAATGCAAAATATTTTATTCCTTTATTATGTGCCAATATGGCAATCACATATTGTTCAGGAAGCGTCTTAATTCAGCCGTTTCCAGCCGCATTTTTTCCGATTATCCCGTTCTCAATCCTATTCTAATCCGATTTGTATCTTTTGCATGGCTCAAAACGACCAAATCCGTCCCGACAGCGTCCAGATTCTACCAGAGATCAAACAGTGACCAGACAGTGAACCGACGCTGACGGAAAATATCCGTTAGAAAACCGTCGCCATATTCGAGATGATCAGCTACTGTCGGAACGCAATCTCATCACAGTCTACTGTGCCGCATTGCAAATGGCTTTGTCTGGACTCAGTCGTATTGTGTTCTGTAATTGACGGAACTCTGACTTGGGTATCATTGCCGAATTTTGTATTAATAACGGGATTGTTCCGGATTGGTTTCGACAAAGACGGTTTGCATTCGGCAAGATCTGGATGCAATCTGGACTCAATCAACCAAAAAACAGCAATGACAAATTTCTCCAGATCATGCCTGTTCCACAGGACACCGTCCAGAAAACACAGAACATTGTTACGATTTTGATCCGATACAGCAGAATC